CATGGTGGACAGGGAGGGAGAAGACCTAAGCCCTGTCCTCTAGCCTCTAGCCTCTAGCCTCACCTGCACAAGGCCATCAGGGGACGGGCAGGGGTGAGAACCGGGTCTGGAGGTGAGGGTGCATGGCCTTAACCTCCGTGGTCACCATGGAGGAGGGGCTCAGGAGAGGTGGTGTAGCTGGGAAGGGGAAAGAAGGAAGGTGCTTGGCAGGCGAAGAGTGTACATGCAAATATCTGGGAACAGTGAGCCTGGGGGCACAGGAACCAGGGCCCTGGACTGGAGCTGGGAAGGGGTGGTGATGAGTGGGGAGCCTTAAGGACTGGGCTGAGGAGTGTGGGGGACATTCTGTCTTCTTTTTTGGTCTCTGTGCTCTGGACCTTGGTCGTTTCTCTGTTCCCCCAGGCTCAGGGGTGGGGGGCCGGCTGAGCCTCATAGGAAGGATGACGCCGCACGAGTGCCAAGTCCCCGCTTTGGCCCATGCCTCCTTGGCCCATGTCTCCCAGGCAGCGGTGGGGGGGGCGGGAAGAGCCCCATCTGTACAGCCAAGAGCCAAGCCCGCAGGTCCTAGATCAAGGTCAGGGGAGGGATGCACCGAGTGCCCTGGTGAGGGGCAGAGCTAGGAGGTGGCAGAGGGATTCTCTGGGAGAAGGCATTCTGTTATTTTCCACCCCCTCCCCAGAGCCTTATCCTGCCTTCCCAGACTCCATTAGTGCGCTCTGCCTCTGTTCAGGACAGCCTGAGAGATTCTGGAAGATTCGTCCAGCTTGCTGGTGAGCTGATGGTGACTGCATGGTCACGGCCAGTCTGCTATCAGCCGTCCCTTCCGGCTCAAGCTCCATCTTCCTGGTGGGCCTCCCGGAGGGAATGAAGTCATTGTTTCCCACTACCCGGCCTGTGGGTGGGAAATCCCTGCCCTGCCTAGTAGGGAGGGTCCACTCCCCTCAGTCCCTCTCTCCTGTGCTCCACAGAAGCTTTGGACTAAGAGAGTGACGGCCTTGGCCACCACCCCCCCCGTGGGTGTCTTCTCCACACACAGCCTGAGGTCCCCAATCCTTAGCATGCATCTGAGGACCTGTGCATCCACCCAACTCTGGACAAAGCCTGAGGTTCGCCCACGGCATCCGGGTGGGGCTAGAGCCCAGACTGTCCTGGGGACAGCCAGCTCTGACTGGAAAGCGGGCCTCACTGGGCACATCAGGAATAAGGCACATCTGGAAAACTGTTTTCCGAGACGGCTCCTCCAGGAGGGCCAGACAGTGCCCGGGCCTGAGTGGCTTCAGGCCCCGCCCAGGGCTCAGGAGTTGGGGAGGGGGGCGGTCCCCCCCTTATTTAGCCTGGCTCAGGCCTGTGGGATCTGGAGGCTGGGCCCGTGCCACTGCCCATGGGAGGGACACGTGGCTCACCAAGTCAGGCCACACTGGAGGAGGAGCTGGGGTGGAGGCGGCACCCTGCCCCAGAGCCCAAGCAACCAGGGCTAGCGGGGCTGCACGGGTGGGTGGCTCTGGCCTTCCCCGGCTTCTCTGTGTGTCCACTCTTGGCTCAATGCTTCCTTCCCCATCTGTCCCTCACCCCACCCCAATTATGCAGAAAAGTTGGAGATGGCCCTCTCATTTCTACCCCCACGTCCCCTGCCCATCCTCGGGCCTGGATCCCTCAGTCCTGTACTTGTTACTGGGCCATCAGAACTCAGGTTTCCAGGGTGCCTGGGTGGCTCAGTCGTTAAGCGTCTGCCTTCGGCTCAGGTCATGGTCCCAGGGTCCTGGGATCGAGCCCCATGTTGGGCTCCCTGCTCCGCGGGAAGCCTGCTTTTCCCTCTCCCACTCCCCCTGCTTGTGTTCCCTCTCTCACTGTGTCTCTGTCTGTCAAATAAATAAATAAAATCTTTAAAAAAAAAAAAAAAAGGAACTCGGGTTTCCATCTGGGAACCAGGACCATCAGGGGCCTTCCCTGACAGGCAGGCAGAGAACCAGACTGGGGTTCTGGGAATTAGGGGATCCTGAGTTCTAATCCTAGCTCTGCCATTCTTTGGCAAATCACTTACCATCTGAGCATCCCAGAGTTGTGGTGAAGAAGAGCCCTCAGCCAGACACTGTTTCCTTTCTCCCTCCCTCCCCCCTCCCTCTTTTTATCCGTCCCTCCCTCTCTCCTTCTCCCTCCCTTCGCTGCTTGGCCAGGACTTGTGGCAGACCAGGGAGAAGAAGGTCATGGGGTTTGTGGGCTTCCTGGATCTGGGGATCCAGTGGCAGTCCTTCTCCCTTTCACGTTGAAATTGTCAGGTCATGGCTACACAGGACCCTTTGCATTGGGGGAGATGGTGGGTGAGTGAGGTGGGCATTATTCCCGAGAGGTCTGCATTCGGATGGCGCCTCCTGGTGATGGCAGTGCCTTTGCCCCAAGGAACAGAGCTATAATGGTGGGTGGCATTTAAGGCAGAGGCCATGCTGATATGGGGGAGGGGTGGGAGACACAGTGGGTGTCCCGGGTATTGTCCTGAGGACCCTCACATCATCCCGACGTTGGTGGGTACCTAATTTGCCCTGGCCAAAGTGCTTTGCCTCCTCTGGGTTCCCCGGATCCTGCCTTGCTCCAGGAGGACGTGGTCCTCTGACAAGTATGCTCTCACCCACGTGCCCTGCGCAGTTACAAGCTCCACCATCCCAAGCACACACACAGAGCCCGCAGGAGGACAAGGAGCTGGGCTGTCTGGTTTGTAGCTGTCTCCCCAATGATCAGAACAAGGTGGCACGTGACTCGTGCTAAGTAAATATTTGGTGGATAAGTTAGTACGTCCCACGTGACTCACACCCACATAGCACATTGCACATCCTCAGCTACGCGGGTCCTGACCTGGCCCGTGGACCCTGTCACAGAAGGCTCCTGTTGTCTCTGAGATGCTGTACCCCCATGCCGGCCTGAGTCCAGTGGTTCTTGTGGGCCCTGCTGCCAGCCTCAGGCCTCCAGGCTGAGTCCTGGTACCTGCCAGCATCCCTCATCCCTGCACCAAGTGGAGGGCCGGGACAGATGTGGGCCCTGTCGGGGCCAGGAAGCTCAGGGGACAGGAGGACACTGTGAATGTCCAGGGCCAGGGCATGAGGAGCCCCGTGGGGTGTGGAGAGCCGAACAAGTGTTGTCCAGAGGAAAGGATGTGGAGGGTTCTGGGAAGGGGCCTAGTTGGGCTGGGTCCCTCTCTTGGATGGTTACTAAGGCGCAGATGACCTCCAGCAGCTGGGGCTTTCTGAGCACGCAGGGCTCACCTGCCACCGTGCCGACCCCCTGCCTTGCATGCACTCCATCCTGTACCTACAGGCACGTAGGTGTACTTAGGTGGTCACAGCTCCCAGTGGGCCTCCTGCTCCCAGGGAATGCCAGGCGGATCCCTGGGCGCTTTGTCACTGCTCCAGGGTGGCTGTGATGTGTGCGGCAGCCGGGCCAAAGGGCAGCCCAGAGGGACTGGTGTCATGATCAGTAGATGGCCTCTGCACAAGAGGTGTAAGACCCGCACGCTCCTCCTTGCCCTGCCCTTGGCACATGCAGAATTTAAAGCTGTCCTTCCCCTGGCTGAGCCTCAGTTTGCCACCTGTAAAATGGGGAGAAGCCAATACTCACGCGTAGGACTGAGGAGGGGCTGGCCGGAGTGGGAGGAGAGGGCCAGAGAGGGCCCCTCTCTCCAGGGCTTGGCCTCGCCCACCTCGCGGGGGCCCCACCTTTCCCTCACTGCAGCAGCCTGGCCGACTGGCAGGAGCTCCCTGTTGCTTGTACAGCTAATCGGCTGCTGTGGGGCCTCTGGCTTGAGGATGTGCAGGGCACAGCCTGGACCACAGGGCTCTGCAGAGCGGCCTCTTCCCCTCCCCCCCGCCCAATCTTTCCGCTTTTGCTTCTTGCCTCTGGTTCCAGTCATGTGTCCTCTTTTTCCAGTCTGTCTCTTCACCCTCTGTGCTCCCTGGCTGTCTCTCCTTCTCAGCCTGGCCTGAGATCTCTCTCTTTCACTTGCACTGTTGTGGGGATTCTCCTTCCCTTTTACTCTTTCATTCTGCCCGTCTGTCTTCCCCTGTCTGTCCATCTGTCTGTCTTCTCTCCTCTTCCCTTCTCCGGCTGCGTCTCTGCCTCTCTCTTTGTCTTGGGTCTTCTCTCCTTCTCTCCTCTTCCCTCCCGTCTCCAGGCTAGCTTGCCATTCCTTCACTCTCCCCTGTGGTCTGTCAGCATGCAGCTTTTGAGAAGAAAATCCTAAACTGCCCCCACTTTCTCTATCTGCCCTGAAATTAGTTCAAATTGCTCTGGAAGCATGAGGGCTCCCAGAGTGGGTACTTCCCATGTCCTTGCCTATCGCAGGCCTGCCCTTGACCATAGAGTGCAGGGTGGGCCACAGATGAGCTCTCTGTGCCTCCTAATGCCTCTGTGCCCCCATCAACTGGGACTGGACTGTGGTGCTGGGGCCCTGGGACATCCTTAAAGTGACATCCAGCGGCCAGGCCTGGGCTGGGGTGCAGGAGGCCCTGAATGCCCCCTGGGGACCCCTGGACCTGTGGTCTCTAGGCTAACGCCACTGTGGGATGGGATGGGGATGGCAGGCAAGCAGGATCATGGTGCCCCGCCTCCAGGGAAGGCAGCGTCCACCTGCTGAGTCCAGCCCGCCCACCCCGCCCCATCCAGAGCTCCTGGCTCTGCCCATGGGCACCCCCTGAGCTTTGTACATAGGGCGGGACACCTGGATTTCTCTGGCCCCCTGAGTGGGCCAACTTGGAGGAATTTCCCAAAGCCTATTAGAGCAGTGGCTGCCTCCTAGAGCTGGGCAGGGCTGAGGGCGGTTGGAGAGAGGGAGGGAGGGAGGAGAGGAGGGAGGGAAAAAAGTTGGCAGGCCGACAGCAGAGCTGTGTCTGCATCCATCGCTGAGAGGAGGCCCTTGCAGTGTGGGGCGGGCCAGGAGCAAGGAGAGGCCTTCCTCTCTTTGTGCTCCCCCTCTCCTCCCGCCCCCCCCCCGGGCCCTATAAATAGGCCCAGCCTGGGCTGTGGCTCAGCTCTCAGAGGGAGTGGAGCACCAGGCAGCGGTCTCCAGCCGAGCCCCCTGCCAGCATGGCCAGCGAGTTCAAGAAGAAGCTCTTCTGGAGGGCGGTGGTGGCCGAGTTCCTGGCCATGACCCTCTTCATCTTCATCAGCATTGGTTCTGCCCTGGGCTTCAATTACCCGGTGAAGAACAACCAGACAGCAGGTGCGGCCCAGGATAACGTGAAGGTGTCACTGGCCTTCGGGCTGAGCATCGCCACCCTGGCCCAGAGCGTGGGCCACATTAGCGGCGCCCACCTCAACCCGGCCGTCACACTGGGGCTGTTGCTCAGCTGCCAGATCAGCATCCTCAGGGCTGTCATGTACATCCTTGCCCAGTGCGTGGGGGCCATCGTGGCCACCGCCATCCTCTCGGGCATCACCTCCGCCCTGCCAGACAACTCGCTCGGCCGAAACGAGGTAAGTGGGGTGGCCCCAGGCGCTGGGGCTCTGGAGCGGAGCAGAGACGGCGGGAGGTCTCATCCTCCACCCATTGAGCATATGGGAACACTGAGGAGCAGAGAGGACGCGAGGTGGCTGGAGGTCATGCGGACTTGGGGCTGGAACTCAGCTACACCTGCGGCCCGGAGCCCAGTTTCTGCCAGGCACTGTGGGAAGCTGAGACCCAGGGCAGAATAGTCTGGCCAACGTCCCCTGCGGGCGTCTGTTGCAGGGATGAAGCTCTGGAGGCAGCTTAGGTTGGGGCCAGCAGTTCCTCACCCCACGGCTGTAGTTTCCTGCCCTCCCCGCCAGCCCGGCCGGGGCAGCCAGCTCCCTCTTCCTAGTCTGGACCCTGGGGAGACGCTGCCCGCTGTGCCCAGATGCCCCGCACGGCTGCGCCAGGGGGGCGAGTGTGCGAGCAGGACCCGGGTGGGTGGCCCCACGGGCCTCCAGCCCGCCCCGCATTCACACAGGTGTCCCAACAAACCGCCTTCAAGGAGAAAGCCCCTCCCGCTCCTCGGCCCCCAGGAATTAGACCAAGCTAGGGGTGGGGGGCTGGGGGAGGGGTGAAAACATTCTGGGCTGTTGGCAGGTGGTTTTCCTGGATGGCAGCGTAGGGGGGCGGCCGGGGGGCGCATCCTGCCTCCTGTCTGCGCTCCTCTCTCTGTCGCTGGGCACTGTGAGGTGTGGCACGTGTGTTTCCGTGTGTGAGCGGTGTGTGCAGGTGGCTGCGTAAGCTGTGCGTGCCCGTGTGCGCCCGGGGCTGGGAGTGTGTCTGCGGGTGTTAGTGCTGCGGCGGGAGTGGCTGGGGGGGAGCGTGTACCTGTGCGTCCCCACTGCTCCTGGCTCCGGTGGGCTCCGGGCGGGGGCACGGATGGGAAGCCGATGCTGGTGGGTGGGCGGCGGACCGCTGTAAAGAGCTCCTCCCGGGTGGCCGGTGGCGGCACTTGCTTGCTGTCGCCGACCTGGGCTTTTGCAGAGCCCCAGCCAAGTGCAGACTCAGACCCGGCTTGGGCCGCCGCAGGGGGACATTTGGCCAGAGAGAGGCTGAGGAAGGCTTGGAGGGTGCCTTCCCAGGGAAGGCGGGAGGCGACGGAGCACAGAGGAGGAATCAGATCTCCAGAGAGGCGGCTGGCCCGGCCGGGGCGCGGCAGATGGGCGTAGGGACAGCGAGCGGGCCGGCCAAGGGCTCCTCAGAGACGGCGGCCCGTGATTATGGCAATTGTTCTCTGGCTTCCCAGCCAAAGTTCAGAGCCTGGCGCTGCAGCTGCGGGGAGGCTTGGGAAGGTCACGGGCAGAGGGCAACTGGCCCAGCCTTGCCACGGGGGGGATTAGCACTTCTGGTGTCACAGTGACACTTACCCAGCCCCCTTGCAGAGCCAACCGCTGCTCAGCCCAAGATTGAAGATTAGCCTGCAGGCTGGAGTTTAGACTTTAGTCAGGAAAGACGTGGCCGAGGTGGGTGGAAGCGACGGGAGCTCTGGCAGGCCAGGTTCCTCCAAGCTTCAGTCTCTGCAGAGGGCCAGAGCCCAGTGACCCGAGGGAGTGGCCCCTGGGTAGGGTCAGGCTCACAGCGGCGCTCGCTGGGCATGATGGCACAGGAGAAGAGGTCCTCGAAGGGGTGGGGTTGAATCTCCGCGGGCCTTCGGCGCCGTCTTGACCCCTCCTTCTCAAGGGACAGGCAGGATAGGCATCTGTTGGCCGACTTTGTGTTCTGACTCGGCATCGCAGGTAGAGGCAGGGAGGGTGGCCACTGACTCTGGCATCTTGATCTGGCCACACGCTGCTCCAATGTCCCTTCCCTTCCCTGGCCTCCATTTCTCAGAGTTACCCTGATGCCGGGGCTGGGCACGTTGCAGGTGGGAGAGAAAAATGGACAGGCTCAAGCCGGGGCCAGCCCAGGTCTGGGAGACGGGCACTCTAGGTTCAAGTCCTGTCTGCTGTTAACCTGTTGAGTTTCCTTGGAGCTGAGGACCCTGAGACTCCAAGAGGGAACCTAGGTCTCTAGGTATTTCTTGGCCCCGCCGATACTACCAGCAAGCTCACTTCGGGGACTTGAGTTTAATTATCACCCTTCCCAGGAGGGTCTGGCTAAGAGGAGCCCAAGAAGGGCCATGCTGAACGAAGGGAACGGAGTGTTGTGGTGGGGTGCGGGCACTGTCCTGTCTACACCATGGAAGTTGCGGGTTCAGAAGCGCAAGCCCTGGGCCTAGAAACAGAAAGCATCTCTCCCAAGGGCTCCTGTCAGACACTGGACCTGGGATCTGAAGGGATCTGAAGGGATCTGGCAGGTGGCCCCAATGCCTCAAGAAGGGCAGAGACCAGTCTATGCAGCAAGGGACACACTCTTTCCTCTTGGGCCCGGGACCCCACCCTGGTCCAAACCTAGGAGGAGCCCTTTGTTGACATGGAGATTCCTAAGGAAAATAGGGAAAGAAGAGACAGGAAGTGGTTGGGGTGAGTCAGGGGGTGTCCCCGGGGGCATGGTGGGGACAACTTTCTTCTCACTGAGTCAGGGCTTGGCATACACCCTGGAGAGACCATGGGCCTCTGTCCTGCCTGTAGGATCCTGGCTGGTTCTAAGAGCCAAACCCCAATTTCGGCCCAAAGTGAGAGTGTCAGAGGCAGGGGTTGGTGCTTCAGGCCAGCACCCTTGCCTGGGTGGCCCCAGTTTCCATCTGTGAAGTAGGAACATAGCAGGGCGTGGCTGGGCCCTGGGAAATGAAAGATGCTCACGAACCTGGGAGTCCTGACCGTTAGCCAGCTCTTTTTATCCTTCCCGTCTCTGGCTCGCTCCCCGATGCTCCCTGCAAACCAGACTGGGACCGCTGGGGGCCCAACTGGCTGAGTCAGCCAGCTCCCCACCCCTGGGCGACCAAGGCCCCTGGCGGGCAAGATAAGCCCCTCGCACAGCTGCCTGCGATATGGGGCAGGGGGCAGGTGTGATAAGAGGTGTCAGGGCGGCAAGGGAACTTCTGCCTTTGAGCCGTGGGGAGGGCCAGGAAGGCTTCACGGAGGAAGTGCCATGGGAGGCTGAATGTGGAGATTGGGAAAGGGGCTTCCGGGCAGAGAAAGGGCATGAGCGCAGGCAAGGTGGCTGTCGGAGCCCAGGGTGAGGGAGTCACAGGGTGGCGCTGGTGGGCGTGGGGGTCATGGTGGGGGGCTGGGGCTCTGGAGAGTGGATGGTCAGGATTCAGGCCAGTGTCTGCCTGTGTCCGAGAGGAGACTGGATGCCCGGTTGTCCCCGAGTCTGGGATTTCAGCCCCCGGGGCGGGGGATGGGGGCTTCAGGCAGAGGGCAAACCTTCCCTCTTCGGGGTCTTCTCTCAGCCCTGCTGATTCTGGGTCTGACTGCCTGGGGACTGCTTCTATGTGCTACACCCAGGGCCTCACCTCAGCCCTAAACTCTCCCCTTCCCCAGTTTCCTGGGCTCGGTTTCCCCAACCACCGAGTGAGAGGGTTGTCCCTTCCCTGTTGGCCCCCCTCCCCCGCACTGGCCACGAGTCCTTCCAGAGTTGAGGGCCCCTCCGCCTCCACCAGAGCTGGGGGTGGCTTGGGGAAAGGGAAGCCAGTTTTTAGACGGACGTGCCCAGAGAGGGGGCTGGGGGCTGGGTGGGTGGTGCCCTAGCTGCAACGTATAATTACAGTTTCCAGCCAGAACCAGATGAGGGGGAGGGCGTAGAGAGGCAGGAGCTTTGTGGTGGAGACTTCCCTCTCCACAGAAAATTCTGAGGCAGTTTCCTTTGTGAGGGCCCTTGGAGCAGCCCTGCCGGCCCCACGCTGCCCACCCCAAAGCCTGGCCTTACCCAGGACTCACTCTGGGAACACCTTGTCTGAAAGGGCAAAGCCATGAGAGGGGACGTGGCCTGCTGGAGCTCCCCAGTCTGCAGGGTCTCACCTTCCCCCTGGTGCCCCCAGGACACACCCTCCCTCTCATGCCTTGAGCCCTTAGTTCATTGCAGACCAATTCCATGGAGTGCCCCCCAACCTGAGCTCAGCCCTAGAGTGCTCCCCACTTTCTCTAGGGTCCCACCCAATGGGGGTTCCTTCAGCACCAGCCACCAGGGCTTTCCCCAGGCTGGTCAAACATGCCCCACACCCACCCCTTAGGGACTGCCTTGGGAAAGCTTTCTCCAAGAGCCCCCTGTTCTTGCTGGCAGAGCCTCCCTGGGTGGGGCATGGTCCCTGCCCTCTGGAAGTGCCAGTAGGTCTGGTGCCTCCTGAATAGCTGGGGCTGAGTCAACACACCTGCAGGTGTGGACAGGAGAATGTTGTCATGGTCAATGTCCCCTCAGCCAGGGCTCCTCCCCGGGGGCTGGGGGACTCCTTGCCCCACAGTGGTGCTTAGGGGGTTAAGTGAGGGGCCGTCTTCACGTTACCAAGGAGCTGCAGTCCAGTTGAGTTAAGAACCCCAACTCAAAAGATGGTAGAAAAGACTGGAAAATGCCCCATTCCCAGTAGCAGCTCCTCTCAGTGCCTGAAATCCCACCACTAGGACAAGAGAGAGGCAGATGTAATTGGGAAGGGGCTGCCCCCGAGTCCGTAAGCTCCCTGTGGTTAGGGCGTGCAGGTAGGATCGGCTTGCTTCCGGCTGCTCTGGGAGGGAGGTCCTGTAACAGGCTTTATGCCATATTGAGACCCCAGTTCAGATGGCTCTTTGGGAATCCTGCACTGACAATCCTGGCCCAGAGGGTGACTGTGGGCCCTGGGGGCAGGGGTCCCATGTCAGGGGGGGAGGAATCCTGGGGCTAACATCCGGGCCAACGCCTCCATTTTACTGATCAGGAAACTGAGGCCGCAGAGGCATTGAGATTGTTCGGTTGCGTAGCAGATCAGGGCAGGGCAGGACCGTGCCCCCAGCCTGCCTCTGGCCCTTGGTTCTTTCAGCTGTTCTAAAGCGCACATGCTCACACTTCACTCACACACACACACACACACACACACACACACACACGGCACAAGGGGGCACACGCAGGTGGGCGTAGAGCACATTCGCAAGCCTGGGTGGTTCCACTCAGGCCCTGGGATCCCGGGGGGAGGGGTAAGTGCTCCTCAACAGAGCCTCTTCCTTTCCCTGGCAGGAGGGTGGGGACGCCCTGGAGTAAGGAAAAGAAGGAGGGAGGGAAGGAGGAAGCCATTGCTTTGTGTATTGTTTCTTGTCAGGAAGATGAAGTGGCTTCTGGGAGCAAATAAGGACCCTCTGAGATCCGCTGCTCGCTCTCTGTCCCTCAAGGGGGGCCTCCTTCCCTTCTCCGCCCCTCTTCCCAGCCAGGGGTGGCACCTGTGATGTCAAGGGACAGGGCGACACATTCAGAAATGCCACCAGACGCACAGCACAGTCACGCAGGGTCACGTGCCACAGAGAAACCCCCAGACACACAGAGCTCCCCGTGCTAGGAGGCGGCTCGTGTGTGATTGGGATTCTCAGACAGCTGGGACGCCCGGGCCAATACACGACTAAGTTGGTCCGCATGTCCACATGGGGGCTTTTGAAAGAGAGTGGATATTCTCAAATTTGGAGTGCAGGGCTTTATGTATTTTCCTTAAATCAAGCTTGTTAATTATGTGGCTCAAATCCTTCCCGTTGGTGCTATTTACAGTGTCTGACTGCTTTAGTCTATCCATTTCTAAGAGAGGGCTGGTCAACTCTTTCGCTCTGGTGGCTGATTGATCAGATTCACCTCACAGTTCTGTCAGTTGTCATTTTTTTTAGGCTATCTTGTCTGGTGCATACAGATTTAGAATTTATGTAGCTCTTTGATAGACTTGTCATTCAATTATGATGTAATAAGCCCTCTTAATGTCTAATGAAAAAGAAAAGGAGAGAGTCACACCCAGACACATATGGTCACCCCCAGATCCTGCAGACACCAACCTACAAAGATACACAGAGGTCCACAAAGCGTTGGTTACCCAGAGGGCCATGGACACAGGAATACCCTTCAAGGGGTGACACGAGGGACCCACTGAGGCCCCCCTCGCTGTGAGTGCTGAGTCCTGGAGGCATTGGGCGAGCAGGGCAGGCCTTGATGTCTCCCCTCCCCTGTTCTTTGAGCCTGGATGCTCAGATTGCAGCCAGGCTGGTTCTGGAGCCTGCTGTTCCCCAAGGGTGGGACACCAGGGTGCCCAGGTTGAGTTGGGGCCCTGGGCCTAGGAAGCGACCTTGGTCATTCTGTCCATGGGCAGCAGGGATGGGTTGAGGACCACTGTCTAGAGAGGTCAGTCCTGTACACCTTCCCTCCCCTGCTGTCCCGGTGCCTGGGTCACGCTGGCTGCTATAGACGCATCTTCCAGCCGTTCTTCAGTCCAAGCTGGGAACAGCCGGGTCCCTTGACTGGTCCTGTAGATAGTCAGTATCCTTGGCTGGGACAAGATGGCTTAGCTATCTCTTCCCCGGGACTCAGCCTCCTCATTCATTACCTCGCAGAGGCTTGCACGGCCTGCCCTGTAAGACCCACAAAAACTAATGGTCTCCCAGCCAGAAAGCCAGTAAACCAGCCCTGAGTCCAGAGAGCATCCCTGGAGCCAGGCTGCCTCCAGAGAGGGTGGAAGTTCTAGAAAATTAGCGTTATCTGCAACTTCTGTCACTACTGCAAGTGTCCTCTCTGGGGTCCGGGCAGCGAGATGGGAAGGTCTCCCCACTCTGTCCTCATCAAGCCCCCAGGCCAGGGGTCTGAGGTGCCCACAGAGGAGGCAGGAGGCTTACTTCCCTGCAAGAGTTGCAGGCGGTTCAGTGAGAGCATGACGACACAGCCGCAGAAGTTAATTCCAGCCAGGCAACGGGGGAAGCTTCTTGGAGTCGGTGGGGTCTGAACTGGGCCTTGAGAATGGCCTTACATGGGTTTGATGTGAGAATGGAGACTCTGCTTCTTTCTGATGCTTCAGATTCAATGTCGGGCTTATTCTGTTGTTCATACTTATATTCATAAAACTGATTGTTGGGGTTTTTTTTGGAAGGGGGCTTTGTCAGTGACATATAAGCCCTAAGCTGGGCAAAACTCCCTGGGGATGTGCAAACATTTTTTTTTTTTCCAATACCAAGTGACCACAACTGAGATTAGCTCTATTTAAGCAATTGTTTCAAATTTAATGGGTTGTGAACAGTAACATATTTTGAATTTTTACCTGCTTTCTTCTGGACATTGACTTTCAGCAGACCTTTATCCCTTTCAGTTCTGAATTATCAAGTTTTGTCAGATGTAAGTCACACAAGTGTGTTGGTGGTCAAAGAAGAAGCGGTCAGTAGACATTGAAGCAATCGGGGGAGGCTTCCTAGTGGTGGTGGTGATGGCTATTGGGAGAGGAAGTTCGTCAACCCATGTGGTTCTGAGCTAAAGGCTCTGGGTGGTCAGGAAGGGGGTATAACACAGAGTTCCCAGGGCAGGTGGTCACCCCCTCTGCTTCCCGTGGACTCAAAGGGCTGGGCATGGCACAGGGCCCCTGGCTCTGCTCACTTTGCATGAAACCCTGTGCTTTTGGGCAGAGCAGGGGCTGGGGTACTCAGACCTGGTTAAGAACTGGGGGAGGAGATGAGCTTGCCCAGGCCACAACTGTGAGAGGATGCGGACGTGGGAGGCTAGGAGGCAGGAACCACTTAGATCGATGGCTCCATTAATTGGCATGCCAGGCCTGGTTTCAGGACTCCCGCCAGCTAGCAATTAGGCTGAGCCTGGAGAGCAGAGAGCAGGAAGAGGAGGCTTGAGCTTCCTGAAGCCTGTCAAGAGGGCAGGTGTGAGTGTGGACGGACATCTGTACAGTTGGCCCAGTCTCATAGGCCTCTCCTCCGTGGAGCTCGTCCTGGCTCCAGGCAGGCCTCACTTGGGTCTCCACAATCCTATGCAGGGTCCCTCCCCTTCCACCTGTCCCCCAGTCCTGGGGATAAGGTGAGAAAGAACCAGAACAAAGCCACAACTGTCCAGGTCCCTCCTGCCTCTGCAGCCCTTCCCAAATGCCCTAAGACCTCCCTACCCCATTGCCTTGGAAACTCCAGCCACTCTGGAAAGTGGATAGGAAAAGCTATTTTACAGATGGGGAAACTGAGGATCAGACTAGGGAAAGGCCATGGCCATGGCACCCAGCAAGAAGGAGAGTCAGGACCTGAACGCAGGCCTTCTGCCTCCACTACCCAACCTTGGGATGGGAAGAAAACCGGGCATTGCCCAGAGGGCTGGCTGGGCTGAGGGGTTACAGCGCTGGGGTCTGCCAGGAAAAGCCTAGAGCTGGGGCTGCAGCCCAGAGGAGGGGATGTGAGTCACTTTCCCTGTGACCCAGGACTGCTGACAAAGGCGGGAAGAGAATTGTTCTTGTAAGATGGCCTCAGGGTGGGGCTGAGAAAACTCTGGGGGGGGGGGTGGAAGAGGGCCCCCCACCTAGGGTTTTATAAAATGCCCTCCGGCTTTGGAGGACCAACCCCTCTCCCTTCGTTCCCAGGATGAGACTTCAAGTTCAGGCTTATTTGGACACACCAACTCTGCCTGGGGGAAGGCAGACCATGTGGCCACATCCGGGCATCTCTGCCAGTGGGCCTTTGCCCATATGGCCCAGCTCCCCTGTGTGGGTGCACCTGGCCCCTGGGACCCCCACAAAGGGGAGGTTTGGGGACTCCCTGGGGAGGGGTCTCCCTGGTGCAGCTGCAGGGGGAGGGCTCTGGTGACCTCATGGCAGCTCCCATCCCCTTCTTTTTCCATGAGTCATGTTTCTAAAAGTGGTCCAAGAGCAAGTGACAGCCAGACGGTAGTGGTGGGGCCTATGTGGCCAGGGAGAAGGAGGGGAGCTTGTCCAGGAGCGAGACGGAGAGGGAGGGGAAGACAGGGAGGGTAGAGAAGAAATGGGAGAGACAGACAGAGGTGGGGTAGGAGACAGAGGGCGGGGCAACAAGGGAGACGGGCACAAGGAGAGAGACTAAGGGAGCTGGGCCAGCTAACTGAGGAAGACCCTCCCCAGCTCTGGGAGCTTTAGATGCAGCACGGGATGGGGTGGAATGTTCTGGACTTGTGGGGTGTGAAGCAATAGTGTCCAGGTGGGCCCTCCCACATGTGGGACTTGACCCTCGCCTCGGGTACTCTGGTACCCCAGGATGCTCTGGCTGGCTGGAGCGGGATGCAGGCTTCCCTGGCCTCTAGGTAGAGTGCTGCAGGGTGGAGGCAGGTACCAGGGGCTGAGCTGGCACCTCCTCAGAGGTGTGGAAGGGACAAAGCCTTGTGTCCACTCCCAGCGGTGTGTGCTTGGGTGGGGCCTGGCCCCCGCTGGGCCCAGCTGGGGGCTAATGTGATGGGCTCTGAGGGCACTGAGTTGCCAGGGCCTGGGGGGCCTGGGACACCATCCCCACCTCGCCTGCTCACCGAACCTTGCTGTCCCTTTTCCCTACAGCTGGCCCCTGGTGTGAACTCTGGTCAGGGCTTGGGCATCGAAATCATAGGCACCCTGCAGCTGGTGCTGTGTGTGCTGGCCACCACCGACAGGAGGCGCCGGGACCTCGGGGGCTCGGGCCCTCTGGCCATCGGCCTCTCTGTGGCCCTGGGACACCTGCTGGCGGTGAGTGTGGGGCCCTCCCAGGTGGGAGTGGGGGCGGGTGGGGTACCCTGTCATGGGCAGGGGGCTGGGGCCAGAGCCCTGCTCTGAGAAGGCAGCACAGGGGCCTCCTGACCATCTTTCTGCGTCTGATTGTCACCTCCCTGCTTTCTCTGTGTCACTGTGTCTCCTCTCCCTCTGTCTGTCTCTCTGGCTCTCCCCCTTCTGCCTCCTGCCCTTCCCCTTGCAGATCGACTACACAGGCTGCAGTATTAACCCCGCCCGGTCCTTCGGCTCCTCCGTGATCACGCATAACTTCAAGGACCACTGGGTAAGGGGTCGCAGGGCTAGCCCCTGGAGGGGGCGGGGGTGTTCTGGTGCCGAGTGGTGGTTCCAACTCCACTCTGCAGCATCCTCTCTCATCACGGAGGCTCTGGGAGACAGACACGGGGGAGGAAATTGGGAAACCAAGGCCTGACATGGGGGTGGCGGGGTGCAGCCTCCCAGCAGCGTGGTGGAGAGCCAGGCCCGATCGTGGCTCAGCCCCTTTCCCATTCAGTGTGACATGGGCAGGCTGCTGACCCTTCCGGTGCCTGCCTCCCCTGAGCGGTGAAGTGGGAGTATTGTGGCACTTACTTACCTCCCAGGGTGGCCTCTAGGACAGATGGCCTCACCACCTGGAGACTGAGCACTCAATCTCAGAGTCAGCACTCGACGGATGTAGGTGCTCTTCCCGTCAACGTGTCTGTTTCGGGCCACCGTTTATCAAGCTAGACATTCCTGTGGCCCTTCAGAAGCTGGGGAGGGTGGGCAGGGCTGGGCTAGTCACGCCAGGCACCCCGAGCGGGGGCACACGGAGGCAGGGAGAGGCTCACTACCAGCATCCTGGCTTGGGCCAGCTCCAGGGGCTCTGCAGTCAGGACACTGGGGTTCAACCCTGCCTGCCTCTGAATCCAGGCGCAGGTGGGGAGAGAGCCCATGCCATGGGGGGGTGGGGGGCCGTCTTCAGGGCAGGCGTCCCACCCTCTGAGCATGCCTGCTCTGTCCCTAGGTTTTCTGGGTGGGGCCGTTCATCGGGGGAGCCCTGGCTGTGCTCATCTACGACTTCATCCTGGCCCCGCGCAGCAGCGACCTCACTGACCGCGTGAAGGTGTGGACCAGCGGCCAGGTGGAGGAGTACGACCTGGACGGCGACGACATCAACTCGAGGGTGGAGATGAAGCCCAAATAGAGAGGCCCCGGCCCGGGCACCCCCGTGGGGGCGGGGCAGGGGCGGGTGGAGGGAGGGGAGGGTGAAATCATGTTGTAGACACTCTGACAAGCTGGCCACCGTCACTTCCCAAAGATCCTCCAGAACTGTGTGGTCAAGCCTGGTTCGGGGCTGTTTCTATCACTTTCTTTCTCTGTCTCTGTTTCCTGGCCCCAGGGCTTCCTGGGGACCACGACTGACCAATCGCTCACTCCCTTGAAGCCACGGAGGAAGTGAAAGAGAGGGACCCACCCTGCTAAGCTGTCCCCTCAGAGTGTGACGGAAGGTGTGCCAGGAAGTCCCTCATCCCAGAGCTGCTGCACAGCTCATCTGCCGCAGGGGTCTGGGGCGCCACTGTTACTGCTTTGTGCCTTTGGGCGTGGCCCTCCTTCTTCTGGAACATGCCCTCTGCCCCCAAGGGTGCTCTGAGGGGAAGAGATGGCAGGAGGTGCGTGGTCAGAGGCAAGCGGTAGGCCGGCTTCGTTTCCGCAGTTTGGCTCGCCTCCAGCCCCCCTCCGCCCCCAGACTTGCTGCATGACCTTGTGATCGTCCATATCTGTAGGGCGGCAGGGACAGGGAGAGCTCCACAGGCCCGGGGCCTCTCTATTCTGTAAGTGTAGATACTTCGTGGGTTCTAGAAGATGTAGTATGGACCAGCACTTCCTCCACTTGCCCTGGTTCTTTCCCGAGGGGAGAGCTGTAGTATGCATCTGTGTGAACACATGGACATATGCATACATGGTTCAAAGCAGAGACCAACAGACAGCTCAGGCCCCGAGAAGTCCCTGTTCCCGGGGAGCAGGGCCGACCCCTATGCAGCAGGGACAGGGTCTGCTGTCGCAGGATGGTGCCAGATGGAGCGCGAAGGAGCAATACCCATGCTCCTTCACTGGGTTTTAGTTGGCCTTTCCCATCTCTCATTGCATCATCTTAATCGTCATGTGATTCTCCACTTCCTTCTGCCAGTGTAGACACAGGCCACACTTATGCAGATGTGTGTTTCTTAAAGGGCAGTTGGTTATCAGAAGCCCCATGCCGGAGGACAGATGACCATGGTGCGGATCAGCCCACGGAGGCACATGGCCCTTGCTGGACCCTGAGGGGGGTTTCTAAGCCCCCAGCTGATGCTGAGGGAGGAGGAGGAGCTGATTCCCTCCCCTATTGCTGAACTCCTGGTTGGAGGCACTTGGGGCAGCTGGGTGACCTGCACAGCCTCCCTGTGTGACCTCAGGCCACAGCCTTCCCTTCTCATTTACCTGGAGGGGACAGTCAGCCTTGGCCTGATGATGTAGCTACCAATGCAGCCCAAGGACACTTCAGAGGAGAGAGTCTGCTTTGGAGGCAGCTGTCTCCACAGTCTATTCAATCCCATCAGGGCCAGAGCAGGTCCCCCAGCATGCCTGTAGGCATGATGGTGACAAAACCCAAGTGACTCCCATCTGCAGATTATATGGAAGCAGCAGGACAACCAGGTAACCCTAAATGGTCACCGACTCATCATAACATCTACACACTCTCTTCTCCATTCCCTAGCAGGGACTTCTAGCTCATTTAACAGATAAGGAAACTGAGGTCCAAGGACCCACAGCTAGGTAATGACTTGGCCAGGCCTAGCAACCAAGGCCATGTCTCTGGCTACTCCCGGGACTATAAGACTGACCCCTCTTATTCTCAGCTGCTCGGTTTCTGCCTGGGCGGTGGTCAGAAGCCAGGAGGGGTGAGGGTCGTGCTGGAGGGGAGAGGGGGGCAGACCCACTTCCTGCCTGGTTCTGACTGCTACATGCCAGACCCTGAATCTGTTTGCTCTGCATAGATGTCTCTTTGGAATCGGAAGTTCATTATATGTTAAGAAAATAAAGGAAAATGACTTACAAGGTCATCTAGGCTTCCTGTAGTTTTTCCTCTTTGGCTACTGTGTTCCTAATGAAGGATCTTGGGGTCGAAGAGGAGACTGGTGCCCCCACTGCAGACCCAGTCTGAGGGGGAGCCATTGCCTGCCCTCCTGCCCTGACGATCCCTGGTCTCCGTGGGCGGACACAGCCTCACCCCAGAACTCCACCTGAGTAACACAGGGTCCTGCCCCCAATAGGGGCCACTTTTGGTGATGGAGTGTGAAAGACATAGGGGAAAGCAGGACTGAAGTGTGACAGCCCCATCAACCCCTCTGCCCTCCTCAGAGCATGGCTCAGGGAGCACCAGGGGCTGCTCGGGTGTCCGTCCCTCTGTCCCTCCACTCCCATTTCCGGCCCCACCCACATCTGTGTTAGGTAGTGGGACCCAAGGTTTTGCCAGGAGCTCACGCATCAGAACTGAGTGCAGTTGCGCTGGGCACGGGTGATGCTTAGCTGGCTGGGAAGGGTGACTGGCTAAGGGGGGAAGAGCAACTTAGCCCCTTGAGGCCTTGTGGGCCACTCCTCTCCTGGAGGTAGGTACCACACCTGGTGAGGATGTGTATTTTCCTGTGAAGGCGTCTGTGGCTTTAGTCAGATGCCTAGCATGTCTGCCCAGGGCCAAAGAGAAGAGAGGTCAGAGTGGGCTGGCCTCTGCCCCGAGGGTGACAGAGAGCCATGAAAAGACCACTCTGTCTGCACCCATCTGACAGATGCTTTTCCATCTGTCCTCATGTAGTCTGGAGGCTGGTGTGGGCTGAACAGGGCTCTGTCCAGCCCTCCTGAACTCACAAAGCCCCTTCCCACTCAGGGCCTCTCTCAGAGTTGGGGGCACAGCAGGTGTGGTTGTCCTTATTTGACAGAAAGGGAGATGGACACGCAAACTTATGGGACAAGTCTGTGTCAGGCTGAGAGTTGGACACGGGCCCCAGACAGCCCCCTCCCTGCCCACCAAACACACACTTAGGGCTGGTTTCTCAAAGTGGAGACAACGATATTAGGAAACTGAGTGTCCAGTGAGCAGGCTTGTACCTTCCACAGAGGCCTAGAATCTGGGAGGCTCTGAGAACCACCAACCACCTAGAAATCTCTTCAGGCCACAAGTGCAGCTATCATCCCAGGTGTGGGCTGATCAGGGAGGGGTGTCTGGGAAGGTCCTGGCGTCCCATCATTGCTCCTGGGAGACACATGGGTCCTGCCTCCCTCTGGTGGAGGCCCGGCTGATGGTAATGCAAGGGCACCTAGGGCAGGGCCAGGGGCTAGGTCACCCCAATGAAGGCTGAGTCAGTGCTGTTGGAACAGGCTTTCTTCTTCCAGGGTCCGCTGGGTCCCTGTGAGGGGCAGCTGTGCTGTGTGAGCCCATGCAAACCTCCCAGGCTGAGGACAGGCTGGTGTGAGCGGAGAGTGATGGCTCCGCTATGCGGAGAGTACACGGGCCAGCCCACTGCCACCCAGGCCCGCCTGTGAGGGTGTGCCAAGGCTATCTCTCACAGCCCTTCTTGGCTTATCGCCTTATCTTGACCCATCCTAAGCTGTGAAGCCCTCTCAGTCCCCACTATGAGCCCTGGCCACCCTGACCTCAATCCCAGCTCTTCCTTCGCCACCTCTGGCCGTCTAGGACAGAGCCTTTCTTACAGACTAGTTATAACTTCTAGAATCCTAGTGCCAAGAGGCAGGACTGAAAGAAGAGGTCAGATCAGGGAACTGCTATTTCTTGAGCACTTACTTTGTGCGAGAAACTTCCCCGGGTTGTCACATGCAGTCCTTCGAATCTTTACAACACCCTTGGAAGGGAGAGATGACTGTCCCCATTTGCAGAGGACACTGAGGCCCCTGAAGACAAAATGATTGGCCCAAGGCCACACAGCAGGCTGGTGGCAGAATTGGGATTTGAACCTGCTCTGCCTGGCTTCAAGGATTGGGTTCCTCCCACGATGTGGTGCTAGCCTGTTTTGTCATGACCTCCACGAAGTTTAGCTCTGGGCCAGCCAGGCAGCCTGTCCTCCTCTGCCTGTGGGGTGTTGAGAGGCAGGAACAAGAAGGAGAATGGCAGGCTGAAGGGACTCCAGCTCCAGGAGGAATGCATCCCATTCTGGGGCCAGCTGGACTTGGTGTCTGCTTCAGACACATGGGCACCACCGGACCCAGGGCAGCTCCCCTGGCATTGGCCCCACCCCAGCCTCCCCGGAGCTCTCTAGGCCTGACTGCCCCTCTCTCTGGAGGAAAATGTCTGATAAACCTGCTTAGCCCAAGGTTGCCCCCTCCCACCAGAGTATATGGGAAGGGGAAGGGCAATGCTGCACCCCGAGGGAAAATGATGCTCGATGAAGGAGCCTCAGATGCCCTTTCAGGCCTGGGGACAAAAATTTCAGGGTGAGGCTTACCCAGACATCCTCTCATCTTCTGGTCTATGGCTTCAGTGCTTCAGGCACCCCTACTCCCAAGGGTCAGCCCCACTCTGCTCTGCTCGTGTTTTGTCCAGCCCAGCACAGAGAAGAGGTTTTGGGGGGAAATACTGGAACTGGAGCAAGGCTGGTAAAGCCACCAGAGCCCTTCTGTTTTTTTCATCAAACTTTAACGGAGAGAGTAAATTTCCTGGAAGATTCCATGACTCAGGCTTTGTCCCCTGGCGGCAGAGCATTCAGATGACTACACACATGAAGTGCTCTGGTGGGGAGCATCTATCACACCCCTTCAGCTGGGTGCCTGCTGGGTCTCCCCCATGGTCCAATGGAGACTTGGAGGTGGCTCAGCGGACCCGGAAGACTGTGCCCTCTGCACTCGGCCCAGGAGGACGCAGGATCTAATCTAGTAGCCATTGAATCCTAGAATATTTGTCCCTTCATTAGACTCACAAGAGCAAAACATTGTGGTTCCACAATTGCCCCACTGATTCTGAGACCAAGGATCCCTGGCCCGGATTGCATGATTTTCCAAAGCCCTTTGGAGGGAAAGTCTTCCAGAGGTCTGTGATGAATGCTCAGATCAACCTGAGGTTGCCTTTATACTATATATATATATATATATATATATATATATGACTGGGTCAATCTGTTCTGGGTTTCTAAATATCTAGGAATCTGGGATCCTTGTAGACCCATAGTTCCCTTTTGTTAGTTCCCTTTCTCCTCCAGGATCAAAGGGATTCCTATTCCCAGACCCTGGAGGGGTGCTGAGCAGTCCAAGGGAGAAGAACTGATCTTTGATGCTACCCTGGTTTGGGGTCAGTAGCAAGTGGTTGGACATACGTGCCACGAAGCCTCAATGGGGCTGGTGGCCTGTAACTCTGGCTTTGATCCCAGTGTCAGTATCCATCTCAAAAGCTCACATGGGCTCAAAGAGGGCCCAAATGAAAGCGTGTGGATGTCTCAAGGCAGCCATTTGCCACTGGGCCCCAAGGACCACGGTGCCTTTTGGGGAATTGGTAGATGCAGGGAGGGTTCTCTCTCTTTGAGGGTTCCCAGGCTGGTCCTCAGCATCCTGCAAACCAAAGCCAGGAGCTGGTCTGGAAAAGCACTGGAGGAACAGGGGCCCCTGTCCTTGATGTGGCCCAGCCATGTGCTGACCCATTAGGATTTTTCCATCCCTCCTGGAGGTCACACCTTCACCAGTCAGGAGCCTCTCAAGGAGGGGGGGATAGTGATTAATGTTTTATGGACGAGCTGCTGGGCATGACACCTTGTTTTCTTTAGGTTTAGAATACAATGAAGACGATGAATGGAATTTGCTGTGAGCTGGGGGCCAGGGTGGGGCGATTCTTAGGGGACCCACAGGCAGTGATGTTTACCGTCCTTCCCTCAGTGCTGAAAAGCAGGCAATTCTGGAGGTAGGAAAGGCTGGAGATGATGCAGGTGAGGCTTTTGCCTGTGGGGCCATCATCCCCAGCCCTCAAGTGACAGTTTGCTCCCATCAACACCTTGGGTTCCAGTGTTCGGAGAGCCACTGGTGAACTGTCCCCAGAAATGCTAATGAGCTCGTTCTGCTCAGGTGACTCTACTTCATTCCACTAAAATCACATTCTCTGCCTATAGGATTCTGCTCATATTCCTGTTCTTTCCAGTGTATTGATGGGGAACGAGGTGAGGACACAACTGATCTTCAGCCGTATGGGTCAGTAGCGCCTCGGCACTTCTTAAATATGAAAATACTTTCATCTGTTCTGAGCTCCTCAAGTACCCCTCCCCACGGCTGGCCTCCTTGACTACTCTGGTCCTTCTCTTGTCTCTAGTCTCCCGTGGACCTCTCCATTACCCAGCACTTAAAAGGTTAAGTCTGTCAGCAGAAGGCCTCAAGGATCTTATTCTGCACTGAAGACCCGGGGGAGTGCTGGAGGATTGCCACACGTGGCTGTCATCTACTTTGCATATTACCTCCAGTTGGGAGAGAAACCTTGCAATTCTTACACCTATAGGTCCAAGGTCTAAGTTAGAAAGTGTATCTGTGTGTGTGTGTGTGTGTGTGTGAGTATGTGTGTGGGTGTGAGAGAGAGAGAGAACTCAGTCCTGTAATGCTACTATATTTGGAGTCGTCCTCTGATCTGCCCCGAGAACCTTCGCAGCAATTCTCACTCACGGGAGAGGCACGGCTCGGCTTTGTGTAAGTACACAGCACTCCGCCAGGCCTTGCAGCCTAGCCCACGATCCATCTCACAACGTAGCCAAGCGCTGGAGGAATGTCTTCTGCCCACAGTCATGTTGTTGCTAAGAGATGTCATGGCCAGCTGCTGTACTTGGTTTGCCTAGAGCCAGCCTGCCCCACGCAGAATATGAGCTCGAAAAGCCTGGCCTGGCTTGTGTTCATGAAGGGGGAACCGGCATGCATTTTTCTGTAAGTTACTGAGTAAGCAAATAGATCTATAATTTGGAAGGAGAAAAGTTTTGTCTTTGGGGAAAAAAATAAAAGGGATGGAGGGAGGAAGGGAGGGGAGAGAGAGAGACTCTCAAAGAATTCTATAAATAAGTCCAACTGCCCCAAAAACAAACCCAAAGAA